CCGGCTGCTTTTGTTCCAAGATAGATTTGTTCGTTCTTCTAGCAGACCATGGTATTTTCAACATTCTTTGCCAACACCACAACTCAAAGGCATCAATTCTTTGTTTTTCCTTATTCATTGTCCAGTTTTCACATGCATATGGAGAACTGAAAATACTATGGGTTGGGTCAGATGTACCTTAGTCCCCAAAGTGACATCTTTGTCTTGTAGCACATTACAAGTCCAAATTCAGGGCTCCAGCTCTAGCTCACTCTCAGCCCTGGAGGAAAGTCCTTGTCTCCTTTTTTATTATTGTGGTAAAAACATACAATACAAGACATTTGCCAGCATAACGACTTCCACATTTATAGCTCAGGGACACTGACGCCATTTTTCATGTTGTGCCACCATTATTGCTATTCTTTTCCAAAATACTCCACTGTTAGAATAAACTCATTGTCCCCCAAACAAAAGTTTCCCCTTTCCACTTCCCTCCTACCTCTGATAACCACTAATAATCTTTTATTTTTTTTAACCTATCTAGAAATTTGCCCTCCCATCCCCTCCTATCCCTGGTAACCAACAAAGTTTCCTTCCATGTATAAACCTTTCCTTGACTTTTTATGATAGTGAACTAATACAATATTTGTCCTTCTATGATTGACTTACTCCACTCAGCATAATGTCCTTCAAATTAATCCATGTTATGCAGTGTTTTGCAGATTCTGCATTATTCTTGGCAAACAACAACAACATTATTCTTTTAAAGTTGCATAGTATTCCATTCTGTGTATGTACTGCAGTTTGTTTATCCATTCCTCAGTTTATGGGCATTTAGATTATTTCCATCTCTTTGCTATTGTGAATAGTGCTGTGATGAACATGGGTGTGCACATATCTATTCATGTCCTGCCTCTCACTTCTTTAGGATATATACCTAGTAATGGGATTGCTGGATCACATGGTATTTCCGTTTCAGACTTTTTAAGGAATCACCATACCAATTTTCACAGTGGTTGTATAAAAGATACCCTCTTCTCCAGCTCTTCTTTCTTGGTGATACTGATGTCCCTTCTTCTCTGGTTGCTTTTCTCTCCTTTTATCTCGTTAGATAAAAGCTGATGCAGGCCACACCCAAAGTAAATTCCCCTTTCATAAGATCAAGGTTGTGACCTGAGTAAGAATGTTGTATTCCACCATAATCCTCTTAAAACTGATTGGCTGATCACATCATGAAGGATAATTTCATCATTACATAACTGCTAAACCTCTGAGAATTATGGCTCAGGCAACTTGACACATATTTTGGTGGGGTACAGTTCAATCTATGGTATTCCACCCTTTGACTCCCAAAATTCATTTCCTTGCCAAAAAGTGCAAAAAACTTTCAACTCATCATATCATCACAAAAATCTTAAACCATCTCCACATCCTATTCTATCCTGGGACAAAACTCCTCTTCATCTGTGAATCTAGAATACAAGTTGCTGTTGTTACGTGCCATGGAGCCGGACCCGACTCATAGCGACCCCTTTTTGGGTTTCTAAGGCGGTATCTCTATGGAAGTAGATTGCCCAACCTTCCTTCCAAGGAGTGGCTGGTGGGTTTGAACCACCAGCCTTCTGGTTAGCAGTCAAGTGCCTTAGGCACTACACTACTAGAGCTCCTAGGATACAAGTTATCTGCTTCCAAAGTATAATGGTGGAACAGGTATAAGGTAGACATTTCCATTACAAATATGAAAAATTAGAGGGAAAGAAGGAATAATGGACACAAAGCAAGTTAAAAATCCATCAGAACAATTTGCGTAACTGTCAAGGCTTGGAAATAATCCTCCCTTCTCTGAGCTCATCTAGGCAGTGGCCTTGCCTGCCAGGCTCTGAGTGTTGGCCACGCACTCTGAATTCTGGGTAGCAGCCCTACAGCCCTGGGCTTCAGCTCTGCTTTCCAGGCCATCTAGAATGACAACCTTGCTCCCTTGGATTTTGATGGCCCCAGTATCTTAGTCTGTGTGAGTGGTGACCATATCCCTTTGGCCCTGGCAAGACCCATTCTTCTGCCCCTTGGGCTGTCAGCCCCACCCCGTCATCTTTAGGCAGCAAATCTGACCCCTTTTCACTGGCACTAGTGAACAGCAGTCCCACACTCCAGAACTGAGTTGGTGAAATCTGATTCTTTGAAACTTAGGCCCCCACCCTTTGAGACCCAGCAGACTGTGTTCCACCCTTTAAGACCTCAGTGGTCATGCCCTTATCCTTTGAAGCCAAGGCAGCTGTGCTTCCCATGCCTCCTTGACTATTCAGCTTTTGCTTCCTGAGTCCTTGACCTCTCAGTCATTTGGACCTATTGGGCAGATACAGCCTATACCCTACTTGCACAAGTGTTACAAAGCTCTTTAGCTCTACCATCAAGTGCCCACAGGAAGCCTCTTACTTGAAGACACTCAGCTTTCTCACTCCATAGTTCAACTCCTGTGTTGTCTCATGCAAGTCTCCTGGTTCTGCTGCCACTGTTTCTCTATCACTGCTTCTCACCATCTGCACTGTCTTCAGTGTTTCAGCTCTCCTTACTTCCTTCTGAGCCCTCACTAAAATTGCCTTTGACTTCCATAATTCCACCAACAGTCTCTTCAAGGCAATCTAGGCTTTATTATTAGACACCTTAAAACTCTTCCAGCCTCTTCATTACTCAATTCCAAAACCTAAAATTCCACATTTGAAGTATCTGTTAGAACAATATACCACTCCAGGTATCAAATTTTGTCTTAGTTAATGAGTGCTTCTATAACAGAGATAACACAAATTAATGTCTTTGAGAAATTTATTCTCTCCCAGTTTAGGAGGTTAGACACCCAACTTCAGGACATCAGCTGTAGGGGAAGGCTCTCTGTAGTGGTGCAACTCATATCTCTACTCTTTGATTCCTGGAACTGTGAATCCAGGGTTCAGGCTATGGGAGAACACTATACTTTGGACACTGGTTTAGAGGATCCACAGCCTCCTAGAGAACATTGCCACGATGCTGCAGTTTTCAGTTCATGAAAACAATCCTGAAATGTCATGGATTGAATTGTGTCCCCCCAAAATATATGTCACCTTGGCTTGGCCATGATTCTCAGTGGTTTAGCAGTTATGTAGTGATGTAATTATCCCCCACGGTGTGATCACTTGTAAGGGAATTAGGGTGGGATGCAATACCCTTACTCAAGGCACAGTTCTGATCCAATGTAAGAGGAGGTTCCCTCAAGTGTGGCCTGTATCATTTTTTATCTAACAAGATAGGACAGAGAAGCAAGCAGAGGAGGAGAGACCTCAATATCACCAAGAAAGAAGAGGTGGGAGTGGAATGCATCCTTTGGACCTGGGGTCCCTGAGCTGAGAAACTCTCAAATCCAGGGGAAGACTGATGCCAAGATACATGGAGAAGTCTAAGGGATGACAGACCCACAGATGTTGAATGGAGACAAGGACCTTCCCCCCCAACAAAAAAAGCTCCCCCCTAGAACTGGTGCCCTGAAGTTAGACTTCTACCTGCCTAAATTGTGAGAGAATAAATTTCTGTGTGTTAAAGCCAATCCACTTGTAGGATTCTGTTATAGCAGCATTAGATAACTAAGACACCATCTGTTCCCCATTTTTAATAGCAGTGAAAACCCAATAGAAAGCAGGGAGACAATCAGGCCTTTGATAATATTTTATTGAGGCCCAGGTTGGCATACAACAAAAGAAATTCTAGAGGAGCTGAAATACTAAGCATTGAACCAAGTGCCTACAAGCTTCAGAAGAATCCTTTTTGAGCAGAGTAGCTCCTTTAACCACATGACTTTCTCTTTTTATAATAATGGACAGTGCATTTGATGACACACCAGAATGTGCTTTACTTTTATTTTCTGGTAAGTGTTCCAGTGATAAAAGTTAGTATCAGATTTTTCTCAAGTATGCTTTCTCAACCTTGGCGCTATCGACATTGCAGGCCAGAAAATTTTGTTGTGGGGGCTGTCCTATGCATTGTAGACTGTTTAGCAGCATCCCTGGCCTCTAACTCACTGGATGTATCCCCACAACCCCCAGTTATGACAACCAAAATTTTGTATGTTGTTAGTTGCCGCCAAATTGACTCCAACTCGTGAGAACCTCACGTATAACAGAGTGAAACTCTGCCTGGTCCAGTACTATCTTCATGATTGTTGGTATGATTGAATCCATTGTCACTGTTGCCTCACTCCATCCCATTGAGGGTTTTCCTTGGCCTTCTACATTACTAAACTTCACGTTCTGTTGGAGTAATTGGCCTTTTCTGATGACATTCCTAAAATAAGCAAGCTGAAGTCTTGCCATCCTCACTTCTAAGGAACATTCTGGTTGGGTTTCCTCTAAAAGTGATTTGTTCATCCTTCTAGCTGTCCAAGGTATATTTGTAAAATTGTTTCCAAATGCCCTCTGGGGGTTAAAATAGCTTCTAATTGAGAACCACTGTTCTAAAAGAAGCCTTAACTGTTCTTCTAAAGAAGCATACTTCATGCTTCAAAGAGGTGCCCTATTGAGCTTTTAGTGGTAGGGAGCAAACTGAAGGCCTGGATTGGCCTCTAATATCTGGACCCTGCTATGACAGGAAGAGGGCTAACTGCTGTAAGGATAGCTTCTATCAGCCATGTGGTACTAGTGGAAGGGTCAATGTTGTCTTTATTTGTGTGGTGGAATATTGAGAGAGAAGAGTGAAAAACTTGAAGACTATTTTATGCTAGAACTGTCTCAGACCAAAACACATGGTTCAGTATATCTATTTATAGTGTTGCAACTCCATAATCAGTGTTGTCTATTTGGGCTTTTATGACTGTTGCAATTTTTTTCTTTAGTTGCTTTCATTTTCAGTCTTTAAATTATATTTGCTTGATTGATTACTACATGAGGTTCCAGTGCATGAATCTGGAAAAAAAAAATTTTTTTGGCTGTTTGGGAATATTGATGTGTTTCTTCTGTGTTGTACTTGTAGTTAATAACATACTTCCTAATATCCTATAGCATACAGATGTCGGCCCTTTTCAGGCAATGGACCGAATGATGTTAAATATGCGAAACAGTATGCAGGAATTACAAAGAAACTTTGTAAGTACTAAATATCAATTGATGAGAATGTTACTTTCAGTTGTTAATACCATGTATTATAGTGCTTTTCAAACTTTTTTTTAACCATGATCCATGGTTAAAAACCATGGTTAAAAAATGTATTTTACATCATGACTTAGTACATAAATACTTGTGTACTTTCTAAATAAATAGACCTGAAGCAAAAATTTCATGAAGAAATAGTCATACTACTTACACAGTGTGCTGATGTTTTCTGCTTTAGTTCACGTTTCAAAAATACTGATCACTGTTTTTAAAAAATACTAATTTCACAATCTCCAGTTTGAAAAATAGCATCAGTTAACTTTAGGAAAAAGTTTTTAAAAGTCTGCTTCCAAAATGTTCGTTTTGCCAAAAGTCACTGTTATAAAGGGACCTCTGTATCAATTTATATATTTTTATTTATTTATAACCTACTTACTTAAAGGATTTTCAGCATCTATGAAACTTAAATTTCGTATTTAAAAAAAAAAAAAAAAACTTTAAAAGCTTAGAAATTTCAGGAATGATGTTTATGCACAGAATTAGATCTATACAGTCCAGGTATTATATAAACTACTACTTTTCTACTCATAATATTAACATCAAAACCAACAGTAACATGATTTTCTATGAAGAGGAAATATATCACTTTACTCATCCAGTTTGGATTCAATGGATCATTTCGGCATGCCCAAATCTAGGGCATTATTAATGATTTTGGTAATGTAGCAATCTGGTAGCCACAGGAGATATGAAACTTCTTGGTGTTTGGATAATTGTCTCAGTGTTGACAAAATTGCTTACAAGGATCAACCACTGACTATAAAAATATCACAGGTTTCAGGGCACACAATTTGTATTTAAATCTAAATGATGTCTCAAGACTTGATCTGTAAGTGAGTCACCTGTTATTCCTTACAAGGGGAGTGAGAATTGCTGCTTAAAATGAAGAGAGATTAGGACCTCCCAGAGGGTGCCTTTTTGATATATAGTACTAACAGTATAGTATCCTTAGGAGAACTTCTAGCTAATTTTGTTACTTAATTGAATCATTCTGGCATTAATTCTTTCTATTTGACTAGACTCTCTGAATTTACAATTAATATATTTATCTCTAGGATCACCTTTCAATGGATCCAAGTGGCCATTCATTTTGTTCTTCCTCAGTTATGACCTATTCCAAAGTAGGAGATGAACCACCAAAAGTTTTCCAGGCCTCAACTCAAACTCGTAGGGCTCCTGGAGGAGTAAGTATTTTCTAAGAATTCTTAAAGCTTTATAAATTTGTGGGATGAGAGTTTTTACCCATATCAATTTTTAATCATTAAATTTCATCTGGTACTGTGGTGGAGGTGGGGAATGGTGGAGACACGTGTCATTATGAAAAGTTTTAAAACTCAACCTACTTAGTATGGTGATTTTCTTTTCTTTTTTTTTTTTGCCTCCCCGCTGCCCAGTATGCCTCTTTTCATATAAATATCTAATTATTTTTATTACCTTTACATGCTGACAAGGAAAATAGGACTAAAAAATGTCTTTGTTTCATGAAATAAATGTCTTTTAGTTTATATTTGCATCACGATAAATGGAGAAAAGATTGAAGTTGTCATAGACTTCACATTGCTTGGTTCTACAATCAACGCCTATGAAAGCAGCAGTCAGGACATCAGACGATGTGTTTTTGTTGTTGTTATATGCCATCGAGTCAGACCCGACTCATAGCAACCCCTTCTTGGGTTTCTGAGGCAGTATCACTACAGAAGTAGATTGCTCCATCTTCCTTCTGAGGAGTGGCTGGTGGGTTTGAACCGCCAGCCTTCTGGTTAGCAGTCAAGTGCCTTAGCCACTATGCTACCAGAGCTCCCCAGACGATGTATAGTACTGGGCAAATCGGCTGCAAAGGACCTCTTTCAAGTGCTGAAGAGCAGAGATGTCTCCTTGAGGACTAAGGCGCACCTGACACAAGCTATGGTATTTTTAATCGCCTCATATGCGTGTGAGAGCTGGACAGTGAATAAGGAAGACAGAAGAAGAATTGATGCTTTTTAGCTGTGGTTTGGTGAAGAATGTTGAAAGTACCACGGACTGTTAAAAGAACTAACAATCTGTCCTGGAGGAAGTGCAGCCAGAATGCTCCTTGAAAGCAAGAATGGCCAGACTTCGTCTCACCTGCTTTGGTCACGCTGTCAGAAGGGACCATTCCTTGGAAAAGGATGTCATGTTTGGTAAAGTGGAGGGTCGACGAAAGAGGAAAAGGCCCTCAATAAGATGGATTGACACAGTGGCTGTGGTGATGGGCTCAAGTATAGCAAGCATCGTGGAGCTGGCATGGAACTGGGCAGTGGTTTTGTTCTGTTGTGCGTAGTTGCTATGAGTCGGAAACTACTCAACAACACCTAATGATAGCAACAGTTTATATTTGACATAAGTGAATTTTTAAAATCATGAAATATCTCGAGAATACCCACATTCCTGTCTCCCAGTTGAAACAAAATCATTTTCCTCTATTCTTACTCTGTTTTGTTAACATTACAAATGCAGTTAAAGCTTCCAATATACTCCTCCTCCTCAGCTCCTTTTCCCTCCCTCCCTCCTCAAAAAAAACCACTTTTTTATAACTGGAGTTTATCATTCTTATGTATACTTTTACAATTTTCTTTCATATATATGATTCATATACAGTGTAACGTTGTTTTGCAGGTTTCTAAACTTCATAGAAATGGTATTATATTGTACTATCTATCTTCTGCCATTTGCCTTTGCTCAATAATATGCTTCTGAGACTCATTCAATTTGACATGTATAGCCCTGGCTTCTTTATTTTAACTACTACACAATATATCAATATATGAGTATACCACAATTTTTGATCCATTTTCCTGTTGATAGATATCTTGGTATTTTCATTTTTCACTAATACATCCTTATATATGTCTCCTTATGCAAACGTGTGAAAGTTTCTCTATAGTCTAGGGATAGTATTACTAGGTTGGAGGATGTGTGTACCTTTAAATTTTTGTAGAAATTATCACATCACTACCCACAATGATTGAAAGAGTTGGCTCCCACTAATTGTGGCATGAGATATCCCATTTCCCCACAACCTTGTTAGTACTTACACCAAGATTTACATTTGCTGATCTCCTTGGAAGCAAGAATGGCCAGGCTTCATGTCACCTACTTTGCTCATGTTATAAGAAGGGACCATTCCTGGAGAAGGATATCATGCTTAGTAAATTGGAGGGTCAGTGTAAAAGGGGAAGGTCCTCAATGACATGGATTGACACAGTGGCTACAACAGTGGGTTCAGGTATAGCAAGGATTGTGAGGCTGGCGCAGGACCAGGGAGTGTTTTGTTCTGTTATCAGGGTCACTATGACTGACAGCACCTAACAACAACAGTAACAATCTAATGGGTATGAAGTAAATTAATTTTTCAATTCTTACATACAATTATGCACCTTTTAATGATACTCTTGCCTAAGTTCAGGTAATTCATTGCAAACATTTTAATTTTATCTTATTATAAGTGATATAAAGTCTTAAATAAGGAGGTCTGGTGGTGTGGTACCTAAGGCATTTGACTGCTAACCAGAAGGTTGGCAGTTCAAGTCTACCACCAGCCGCTCTGCGAAGAGAAGATGGAGCAATCTACTTCTATAAAGATTTACTGCCTCAGAACTCCAAAGGGGGTTGTTATGAGTCAGAATTGACTTGATGGCATTGAGTTCACTTTTCAGCTAAAGTCTTAAATATAAGCAATGCATTTTATATGTCCCACAACAAATCGTGTTAGTCTTTGGCTATCTTTTTTAAGTAATATTCCCAAATTGTTGATAGGTAGGAGCCGTGAGATTCAAGCCAGTCAACGTGACTAATAATTAGTTGCCCTTACTTGTAGCAATGCCAGCATGAACTTCCATCTTTTACATTGTCAAGGACAGTGTTGAAAGCACTAAGGTTTATATAACTAAGTTATTCTTTGTTTTAATATTTGGTTACAAATTGGACAAAAAGGTAAAATTGTATTGTTTCATGTCTCTAGAAATTTTAATTTTTAAGCAGTTCGGGAAGTATCAGAGCCATATTACCACAATTTTGCTGCAAGTTGGTGGTGGATCTGTAGTTGATCTGTATAGATCCATAGCAGATCTGTGGCCTTAAATCTATAAAGAAATAGGCTCTGAAGAGTTTTATAGTAATTCAATAAATATTAAAATTACAGTGAAATAATTTTTATTTGCTTTACTTTTACAGATAAAGGAAACCAGGAGAACTTTGAGAGATTCTGACAGTGGGTTAGAAAAAATGGCTGTTGGGCATCATATCCATGATCGAGCTCATGTCATTAAAAAGTCAAGGAACAAGAAGACTGGAGACGAAGAGGTCAATCAAGAGTTCATCAACATGAATGAAAGTATGTTATCACAAAAATAGTATTTTTTCTTTTCAGATAGCTTTATTTGTAGGACTTGATTAATACTTTTTATTAGAAACATTTCATTAGATGTAGTTCTGATTTACCTTATGAATAATGTGTATAGGGAATATATTGTCAAAGTAATAAAATTGAGGTTTCATCATTTCATAGTAAATCCTTTTTATAGTGAATTTTAGCAATGTTGGGTTTTGTTAATTTTCCTAATTTTATACTTGGAAAACAGTATCCTTAGGATATTTTTTTAGTAAGACTGTCAATAGGCAAACTGAGTTTTAAAATGTTTTTTCTCATTATTAAGGAAGTATATTTGAAAATAGAAAATAAAAATTATCCATAATCTCAACCCAAAATAACTACTTTTAATGTTTTAGTATATTTTTCCTAATGCTTTTTTCTAAAAATACATAAATTTTTTTTTAAATTATAATTTTATTTTCCATATAGCTATATAGGAGCTTTGGTGGTGTAGTGCCTAAGGCACTTGACTGCTAACCAGAAGGCTGGCAGTTCAAAACCACCAGCCACTTCTTGGAAGGAAAAATGGGCAGTCTACTTTCGTAGTGATAGTGCCTCAGAAACCCAAGGAGAGTTGCTATGAGTCGGATCTGACTCGACGGCAGTGAGTTTGGTTTTTGGATATATAGTTGTATATTGTGTTTATTTTAACTTAACACTTTAATTGTCACTAATCACCTATATGTTAATATAGTTTTTTAAAATTTGTATTGTGATTTGGGTGAAAGTTTACAGAGCAAATTAATTTTCCATACAGCAGCTCACATACACTTTGTCTCATGACATTGACTGCAATTTTCCACAATGCAAAAGCTCCCCTTCCACTTCTTCCCCATAGTTACCTCTTCCCTGTGTCCTTCCCTCCCATACACTCCTGCCCCCCCTAGCTATCTCCTTGTGCATATTCAGCCCTTCTATTCTCCCATGAGGAGCTCTGGTAGCATAGTGCCTAAGGCACTTGACTGCTAACCAGAAGGCTGGCGGTTCAAACCCACCAACCACTCCTTGGAAGGAAGGTTGGGCAATCTACTTCTGTAGTGATACCGCCTTGGAAACCCAAGGAGGGGTTGCTAGGAGTCCAGGTTGACTCGACAGCACATAACAACAACATGAGTTTTAATGGTAACCTGAAAGTATATCATGAATAGGCTATAATTTATTTAAATCATTCTGTATTGTTAGATTTTTGTATAGATAAGATTTTAATTTCTGGTATATGTTAAGTATCATGTATGTATCGTTTGTAAATCTGTTTTCTAGATTTTTATACATATTCATTCTTCAAGCATTTAAGCCCTTCCAGTATCTTAACCTTTCTCATTATAGTCTTTAAATTATATTCATCTCTTCATAAAGTATTTTGAATAGCAATGTTTAATCATAGTATAAAGGGTTAAAATTATTTTATCATTTTTGAAAATTAAATTCTTTAAGGTTAGAGTTTGAAAATTTTTTTATAGAAGCCATACATCTTAACCTTTCTTTGATTTTAACCTTTAATCTTTTTATATTTGAATGTGTAGAGTACTTGACAATAATTGTTGTTGTTGTTGTTGTTGTTTGCCATCGAGTCGGCCCCAACTCATAGCGACCCCTCCTTGGGTTTCCGAGCAGTATCACTACGGAAGTAGGATTGCCCAACCTTCCTTCCGAGGAGTGGCTGGTGGGTTTGAACCGCCAGCCGTCTGGTTCACAGGCAAGTGCCTTAGGCACTATGTTTAAAAAAATTAGTGAAGGGACACATTATTATAAAGGCAATCTGAAAAACAAGTGCAATCATCTATCTATCTATGATTGATGTTATGGAAGTTAGATTTCCCACTTCATAACAACAAAAGGTTACTGTTGAGTTGAAAAACCCTGTCCCAGGAAATTGACAACAGAGTTGTGAGGCCAAGTTAGATAGGATGATGATGAAGTGAATAGGAAGTGTTAGCCACAGATGGAGTGTCAAGAGTGTAAGTACATAGGAGCAGTATGGTCACTATGAGATTACCCTGAAATAAAGACTTGGGTCAAGGGCCCATTAAGTAGAATACTATGATACTCAGGCAGGGGAGTGAAAAATAAGATAATCATTAAAACCAGATCATTAATAGCTTCTTGCCTTTGTTTTGAGATTAGGGTGATGGGAGCAATAGCTTAGATTGAAGTGTGTGGGAAGCAAGATAGTTACTGACATTTAATAACTTAATACTCATTTATTCTAATTTGATGTTTAACGTAGGTGATGCTCATGCTTTTGATGATGAATGGCAGAATGAGATTTTGAAGTACAGACCAGGGGGAAAATGGCATAATCTAGAAAACACTAGGATGCCAAGTGTTGGTCATGAGAATACAGGAGCCCGAGAACTTAAAAGAAGGTAAAAAAATATTTCTAAAATAGTGGTTCTATTTAAGAAAAATTAGAAGAAAAGTTACGTAATTTTAACTTCTGTTATCAGGAAGTTTTGATGAGCATCCCCAATATCTTCTGTGAAAGATGTGATAATGGTACAATGGAGCTAAGTGTTCCATACAAATTTAAATTTGTATCTATAAACAAATTATAATTTAGGATTGTATGATTAATAACTTACTAGTAAACTCTGATTCAGAGGATAGATAGGAGCCAAAATCCTTCTAAGGAACAGTTATATACTATCATATAGTTATTCTTGTGAAACAGCTTTTAATTTGGATATACATAAAGATAGAAATTTCACACCAGATAAAGATACTCATGGTTAGAGGAATGATAAGGATGTTGAGGTTATTTGGAAAGCTTGACAACTTCCCTAACAAATCAAAATTCAGCATTTAATGGAATGAATTTTTAGACACTAGTATATGTAGCAATAGGTAAAATATGTCAAATGCCATGATTCATGTGTATTAGACATTTGGGAATGATTTTGAGGAAAATTTAGCCTTTTTGTAATTACTTTTTGAAGTATCTGTGCAAAATAAATGTGAAACCATAGATTAAAGATTATAGAGATTTTTACATTTGGGATATATTCTGGAGATTTACAATCTAATTTGGTTCTCTGGGGAAAAAATTGAAAATAATACCTAATTCCTGTTGAAATTACACTTGAAAGGGAGAGAGGCCTCACCAGGCCTTAAAACAGAAATCTGTTCTAGGCCATAAGAGAGTGGAGAATTGCTGCAGAAGGTGGAAGGCTTCACAGAACCAGCAGTAGCGATGGACAAGTGGGTATCAAGTAAATCAGAAGCCTTTTGCAGAATTTCAAGCACTAGTATCTTTTCTTTTAAAATAATGTTTTACAAATTTTTAGAGGCCTTTTCCTTATATTTTCTATAGAATGACTTGAAAACTTTCCCTGATACTAGTTTTAGATATTTATATTACTTCGACAAGGTTATTGATTAAAACCCAACAGTGTTAAATTTGAACTTGAAATCTGGGCGCCAGTTGGAGAAAGCATGCTCTATATGGATGATCTGTGAATCTGTGGCTTAACAGTTTGTCAGTCAGTACTGTCCAATAGAACTTTCTGTAATGATGAAAATGTTACGACTCTACATTGTCCAGTACAGTAACCACTAGTCACATGGCTATTGAGTTGTACTTGAAATGTGGCTGGTGCAACTGAGGGACTGAATTTGTTATTTTACTTTATTAATTTATATGTAATAATGTGACTAGTGGCTATCATATTGGACAGTGTGGCTTAAACCATAAATAGTTAAGTGTAGCTCATATAAAAGTCTTTGGTTCTGAATGTTTGAAACTGTCTTCCTTACGTTTTTCAAAGCTATGGGGAACTTTTAAAATAAAACTTTCCTTAAGCTACAGTGGTTTAAAACATGTTTGTATTGATTGACAGTACAAACACTGACTGGTAGTAATGTTCACATATATATTCCTTAGGGAGAAAGTTCACCAAAGTCCAGCCATTGAAAGTGGAAGAAGATCAAACGTCTTTGTGGACAAACTCAACGTCAAAGGATCGCCTGTCAAAATGAGCAAAAAATAAATCGCTGTTCATTCATTTGTTTGGTTTTGGTGGTTTTGATAGAAAAAGTAATGGTGCTGGGTAACATATATAAGACCAATCTCTTGTTTTTAAATCAATATTGTACTTTGCAACGTTCTTTTGTTGTCTGAATGTTCTTGGAAGCTGTCTGTATTTATCCTACTTTAGGAATAAATCTTTAATTTTCAACAATGTGGGTAAATGGTTAAACATTCTATAATACTCTTTAAAACATACTAATTTTTAGAGCTCAGATGCTGATTGTGCTTTCTCGGTCATTTTCTTATGGCTGTGCATCTTGTAAACCTCTAAAGATTGAATGATAGAGCCGGCTTTATCATCTATGATTACAGTTGTAAGTAAAATGGTAAAAGTAGTCTCACCTTTCACTGACTTAATGCTGTACTACAGTGAAGTTAATAAAGGTCTAAATAATTTATCTCAAAGTGTATACTGTGTCTTGAAGCCAGTTAGCTTAAAGCTTTTGAAAAAAATAAAATAATACTATTACTGTTTTAGCAACTCTAGTACCATAGCGGCTAAGGCACTTGACTGCTAACCAGAAGGCTGCCAGTTCAAACCCACCAGCCACTCCTTGGAAGGAAGTTTGGGCAATCTACTTCCATAGTGATACTGCATCAGAAACCCAAGGAGGGGTCACTATGAGTCAGGTCCAACTCGATGGGAAATAACAACAACATTACTGTTTTAAAAGAAATTAGGTATTATTTTGATAGACATAAAGAATGATAAAAAAATTGTTCATTTTCAAAAAAAAACATTTTAAATTGCTAATGTACATGATTTTTTTTATACAATATCTTCTTTTTGTTTTAGATTACATTCTTAACCTTCATCAAACTTTACATTGAGCTTTCTCTTTAACTCCTTAAAGTGGTATATTTATGCTCTCCTTTACCACAGACAGCTTAATCTATCTCCAAGGTTAACATTCTGTAGTTGGAATGTCCTTGGAGGAACTTGGTTCAGCCTTTTTGTGACATTTAGAAAAATGCATTTGGTATTCTGCAAACATGAATGATTGATTATCTCAAAATTTGTTAGACAGGTGATGTGTTTTAGAGCAAAAAAAAACCAAATTCACTGCCATTGAGTCGATTCGACTCATAGCGACCCCTCCTTGGGTTTCCAAGGCAGTTTCGCTACGAAAGTAGATTGCCCAGTCAGTCTTCCTTCTGAGCAGTGGCTGGTGGGTTTGAACCGCCAGCCTTGTGGTTAGCAGTCAAATGCCTTAGGCACAGTTGTTCCCTTTTTAATTATACCATTTAAATATTCAGTGGGTAGCTTCTTTTATTCTAGAGTTCAAGCATTAATCTGTTTTTATTAAAGTTACATTTGAAGTTAATAAAAATATAAACTCTTAACTCTTTTAAATCTTTGTTGCTTAAGAAAATGTTTTCTATCAAGGGAAAAAAAAAAAGGAAAAAAGAACAGAAAACCCACTACTCTACTGTATAATCCTAACCTTACATGTTTTTCTTTAAGTTTAGAGTAAAAATAATGTAAATCATGCTTATACTCCTTAAATTTTATATATTAATTTTACTAATCTGTATTTCTTGCTTTAAGTCATGTTTAGAATTGAAATTGAGCATATATTAAAGTTAAAAATGTTAAATTTCCCTTTTATGCCTATATTTCTAGTTTAGAATACTGTAACATGGGAGCTCTGGTAGCATAGTGCCTAAAGCACTTGACTGCTAACCAGAAGGCTGGCGGTTCAAACCCACCAGCCACTCCTGGGAGGAAGGTTGGGCAATCTACTTCCGTAGTGATACTGCCTCGGAAACCCAAGGAGGGGTCGCTATGAGTTGGGTCCAACTCCATGGCACATAACAACAACATACCGTAACATTGAGAAGTTGACATACATTTTAAATAATATTTTTGAATAAATTAACTCAGTAGGATAAAATCTCAACAGAAAGTAGACACTGTATTTTCCTTTTGCCTAAATCATTACAGTGATGATTACTTGAGTTACTGCATTCAAATCTGAAAACCCACTTGAATAATTTTACCGAAAACAATATAACTCCTGTACATCATATAGCAGTTAGAGAATTCAGAGATATTTCCCCCTCATAATTCATTTACCATGGAAATCAAATAAAATCTGAATTATATGTTTCTTCCTCTGACACAGTGCTTCAAAAGAGACATTTATAAAATATGTGACATATGGAAATTAACTGTCAATTCTTTGTGTTAATATGATCCTAAAAGAGCTGTTCTCAGAATCTTTTTATTATAATGCTAAAGCCAACCAGTGTTAAGAAGACAGATCTGTATAGCTTGAAGTACACGTTTGTTTGTTTGTTTTTCTTTACTGATGACCATTGATCTTTTGGGGACACTACTAAATCTTTTGGGAATATGAATATTAACTATTTGGTGACTATAGCCTTAGGAATGAAGCCTAGTTACATGCTTAGGCTCACTGTCACAGGAGAAATTTTCCTGACACCGGGCTATCTTAGTAATGGGTTTTCCTTACTCTGCCTTCATGGCTTCATTATCTTTTACTGTCACAAGGAAATGGTAGTGGCATATTTGCAGTCAGATGGTGCCCAACCTGTGGCCTCAGCTATATATAACCTTTTCAGTGATACTGCGTGGGCCTAAAAACGCACAACTGTGGGCAGTTGCCCGTGAAGAGAGGCAACAAAATCTTGTGGTCCTGCACCTTTGCACTTGCTTTCAAATAAGAGACTTGAGGCTTTTCCCTCTTATATTATTAAGTATTCACTATTTTGTTGTTATTAAATAATTATAAAATTTATTAATATCATAATTATTATACTACAGGAGTATTTTATTTGGCTTTTTACAGAAATCATTTTTGACCTTTGACTTTTAAAATAATAATAAGTCAATCTTCCTCCTTTTTTAACCCTCTTTTTAAATGTCACTCATTTCTGGCTAGTGTAAATCATATTAAATGTAGACCAGCTCATAAAAATTGTAAAAATTTCTCTAGTGAATTTTTATTCAAATTAACTTTTGCCTGGAATTAACTCTAAAAGGGCATGAGTTTCCTTGAGTTGTATGCACTGAATACCAATATAAAGAGCTGAAGGTATA